AGCATTAAAAAAAAGCACATAATTTATATTGTATATGAATTAAAAGAACAGAAAAAAAAAAAAAAAAAAAAAAAAAAAAAAAAAAAAAAAAAAAAAAAAAAAGAGTATAAATTAAAGAGCTATAGATGGTCAACATACTTGGTTACCGATATTAAGGGGCACAACATCACCAACCACAAGATCGTAAATTGACACTTCAATTCTTCGACCACCTCTAATGACCTGCAGCCATGTACCTTAAAGAAATAAGAAACTGACATGTCTCTCTTTCTTGAATCTATTGGTGTCAACTGTCAAGCATACCCACCTGTAAATGTATGTTTCTCTTCTCGTCATTTAAGTTTTGGAACTGAAGAGATTGTCTATAATCACTAATAGCTGAAGAAAAAGAACAAAAACATCAATAAAGAGCAGTTGTATCCTACTAAAGGAGTGAAATAAGAAGTTAAAAGATGCTATAATGAAACAAACAGTTCAGGATGCTATCTAATGATAATGTTATCATATGCGGAAATATCCACTTGGACCTCCACAGTTACCTTCCTTATAAAATCAAATCATCTTAGACATGTTAAGGCTTGATTTTTAATCAATTTAATTAAGACGTTCACAGGCCAAAAGAATTAAAAGAACGTTTATTTTTTGACTTGGTTCTTCAACAAAATAATGGTTCAAAATACTATAAAACAATGTAAAGCTACATTTCAAGCATCAGCCTCGCTTTGTGGAAACACGAATTACACTTTACGTGTTAGTTAGAGTTATAAAAAACCACTCAGAAATGGATCTATTACATCCCCCAGTCAAGAAAATTTGACGACTACCTCTATGATAAATTAAAAATTCAAAACAATTCTAAAGAAGTTTAAATTCAATTAAAACTTCAAAACATGGTATTAGAGAGTTTTATCAATAAAGGGAAAGGAAAAGAATAAATTAACTACGACACCTAAGAGGAACAACAAAATTATATAAAAAAAAAAAGAAGGCAACCGTGGTTGACAAATGTATCAAAAGTAATTTGCTCCGAAAAAGATGGCCATTTAATACCTGTAACAACAATAACAAGAAGAACTGCAAACGCAATGCTTCCCCCATCATACCATCCTTCTTCTATACCCTATAAAAGAAAAAAGAGATATCTATAGAGCACCACCTCAAAATAACACTAGGCTTAAACCAGATAAAAGAAAGGCAAAAAAATAAATTAATGAAATATTTATAGTGAAAGAAAATGCAAGGACTTACACCAAAAAGCATGCCTCAGAAACACGAGAAGCAAAAGCTTATGAATTCCAATTACATCACTCTTATTTACTCTTTCTTATCCTTTTTTTCTCCCCTTTATTTTTTATACACCTATATTGTTACATGAAGCAAAGAATATTGATCCGACCTTTTTCAATCTATAGTATCTCAATAAAATTTTGTTGTGTACTATTACAACATAGAATAAATAACACGAACACACACAAGACAATCTCAAATAAGCATAATTAGTTTACTATGGCACACCGCTCACCTCAGTCTTTATACCAAGAGCAAGGGAAGCAACTGCAGCTATCATTAATATGATCAAAGTAAGGTCTTGCCAAGCTTCCCAAAGAAACATCTATGAGATAGCAAAATGAACACATAAATCAACAAAAGAGAAGATATCCTCTTTCAGCAATAGCAGAAGAAAATGTAATTTTTCTTCTTCTTCTTAATTAAACGAGTATGAAATTTCTATGTAATACTGAGAATTACCCAAAAACTTCTCCCTTTTTTCCGTGGATATGTGTTTGAACCGAAGGCATTTCTTCTCTTTAGTAACTCTTCATCATCTCCATGGATTCCCTTCTCTATATTTGTTTTTAATGAATCTGCCACGCCTTTAACCTGATTTATAATCCAGAAAAACACAAATGGTTGATGACATCACCTAACAAAACAAAAGGTTAGAAAAAACAAGAATTGTTATAGTTTGCACTTGCCCCTCCATATTGTTCCAGCAAGGTAAGATTATGATCCCTAGTTATTGAAGCAAGTTGCTCTTCTCCAATTTCATACTCGCCACTAGTAGTTGGAGGTGGTTTTGCAGTGCCTGTAAGTTGGAATCACAAAATCAATCACACGATGCCCATCTAACAAAGCAGCTCTTGACAATAATTAATTAAGAGGGAGGAAAAACCAAATTGAAACCCGTTACACCAGTCATGATGGGAAAATAAACTATTAATGCAAATGTGACTCATGCAATAAGCTAGCAGAATAATGTTTATAGTATAAAAAAGAACAATAACCCAGTCTAACAACTCAAGGATATAGTCTTTTCACAATCGTAACATTACATATTGGAGTAGAAACCTGACCAATAAACCAATCAAAACATCATGTTTATAGACATATGCAGCTACAAGAAGAAGACTGGAAGATACGGAGAAGAACAGCGGCCTCCATGCAATTTTGAGCAAAGAAAGCATAAGGAGGAATCACAGGGATGAGCAGAAAGAGTGAAAATAGTAATTTGATATGAAGTTTATGTAAATCCGAGGAACAAGGGCAATAAAGAAGAAAGTACCATTGATTTGTTCTCCAGCTTTTTTAAAAAGGTATGCAGCCTAATAAAGAGAACACCATATATCAGAAGATAAACACAGATAACAAAAGCAACTTTAAGAAGACATTGCTTCGAAATTCATTACTCGTATAGCTTGTGCATGAGCTCTGATCTTCCTCAATATTTGCCTATTTTCTTCTTCTTTTTTCAAGTCTAACGTGTATCGGAATCGACGAGAAGCGTTTAGCACAAGCGCTGCTTGCTGAAAACAAAATCTATTTTAGCCCAAAAACAAAAGAAGGAAATAGAAACAACAATGTACAAAACACATGATTATTTAATTCAAATTAGTAACTCGGCAACATAAAGAGACGTAAAACAATAAATAGACATAA